AGATCAAAGCTTCTTTCAACTTGTTGAAGGCTTGAAAACAATCTTCATCAGAAACAAAATCGGCCTCTTTTTGAAGGAGGGCATTTAGGGGTCTAGCAATGAGGGAGAAATCTTTGATAAACCTTCTATAAAACCCCGCATGCCCAAGAAATGATCTTACTCCCTTCACATTGATAGGGGTTGGTAGCTTCTCGATTACTTCAACCTTGGCTTTGTCAACCTCAATTCCTTTGTTGGAGATCTTATGCCCAAGGACAATTCCTTCCTCAGCCATAAAGTGGCACTTCTCCCAATTCAAGACCAGATTGACCTTTTCACATCTTGCCAAGCACTTGCCCAAATTTGTCAAGCAATCCTCAAATGAAAGGCCACCAACCGAAAATTCATCCATGAATACCTCCATTTCCTCTTCGAGCATGTCACCAAATATGGTCATCATGCATCTTTGAAAAGTCCCCGGTGCATTGCAAAGTCCAAATGGCATTCTCCTATATGCAAAAGTACCATATGGACAAGTAAAAGTCGTCTTCTCTTGGTCATCCGGATTTATAGGGATTTGAAAGAAACCCGAATAACCGTCAAGAAAACAATAGTACTTGTGCCTTGTTAGTCTCTCAAGTATTTGGTCAATAAAAGGGAGGGGAAAGTGATCCTTTTTGGTGGATGCATTTAGACGTCTATAGTCTATACACATCCTCCAACCGGTCACCGTTCTAGTTAAAATGAGCTCACCATTCTCATTTTCAACTACGGTCATTCCCCCCTTTTTAAGGACCACATGAACGGGGGAAACCCATCTAGAACTCGAAATGGGGAAGATGATGCCCGCATCAAGGAGTTTGGTGATTTCTTTCTTCACCACCTCCCCCATTTGAGGATTGAGTTTCCTTTGCCTTTCAATGGAAGGCTTAGCACCCTCCTCAAGTGTTATGTGGTGCATACATAAAGCGGGACTAATACCTTTGAGGTTATCAATGGTATAGCCTAAAGCACCTTGGTGGTTTCTCAATACACCACATAACATTTGAGTTTGGCACTCATTCAAAGAAGAATTTACAATAACCGGGTAAGATGAATTTGGACCAAGAAACTCATACCTTAGCTGTGATGGTAGAGGTTTGAGCTCTACCATCGGAACACCCTTACCTTCTCTTGTAGTGGCTATCTCCAATGCATCTTTGGTTATGATTCCCATGCATACTTGCTCAATGCTTCCTTCCGCACTTCCATCAAGCATTTCTTCATACAATGTCATCTCCTTGCTTTGTTCCCCTATCTTTTCTTTGTTCAATAAAACATTCTCAAGGGCATTGTTAGAAGTGAGCAAGTACTCATGCATAGTATTCACAATAGAATCAATAGCATCAATCATCATACAATTTTCCAAAGTTGAGCTTGGATATTTCATGCTTTCATTCAAGTCAAATTCTATTACCTCATCTCCTACTTTTAGTGTAATTTTAGCACTTTTAACATCAATTAAAGCACCCGAAGTAGCAAGAAAAGGTCTTCCTAGAATTATTGGAATATTAACATCTTCATCCATTTCCAAAACAACAAAGTCCACCGGAATTACAAACTTTCCCACTCTTAGAGGAACATCCTCTACCTTACCCTTTGGAAATTTAATGGATCGATCGACCAATTGTAAGGTAATGTTAGTGGGTAGAAGTTCCCCTATCTCAAGTCTTTGATATACCGAATATGGCATAAGGCTAACACTAGCCCCAAGGTCACACAAGGCATTATCAATTTGCATTTTATATATTGCACAAGGGATTGAAAAGTTACCGGGATCTTTTAACTTTGGTGGCATCTTATTCATGATAATAGCACTACAATTCTCGGTGAGATTCACCGTTTCCACCACATCACACTTTCTCCTTCCACTCAAAATATATTTTAAAAACCTAGCATAGTTAGGCATTTGCTTGATAGCATCGGTAAAAGGGATTGAAAGGTGAATTTGCTTCAGTGTTTCAAGGAATTTTCCAAATTTCACATCTAATTTGTGTCTCACAAATTTATGGGGATATGGAAGTCTTTGCAATTTTTTGGTTTCTTTTTCACTCTCTTTTTCTTTTTCATTCTCTTTTTCTTTTTCATTCTCAAAGGCTTTCTCTTCTTCATGCTCAAAATCACTCTCAAGGGGAGGCTCACTCATGTTCATTTTCTCATTGTCTTTCTTAGGGACACTCTCTTCCAACACTTTCCCACTCCTAGTTGATATAGCATTCACCGGTTTCTTGGGGTCAAGTCCTTGGGGTGGAAGTTTAGAAGTGCTAGCTCCCTCTTTTAAAGCATTGGCCAATTGAGAAATTTGTGTTTCAAGCATTTTGTTATGGGTCATTACTTCATTAAACTTCTTATCACTAGTGGACATGAAAGTGTTGAACATTTTGGCTTGGCTTTCCATCATCTCTTCTAGGCTAGACTTTTGTGGAGGTGGTTGAGTGTAACAATTGTCTTGTTATGCTCTAGGACCTTTCACATTGGAATTAGCATTTTGGTTGTTAAAGCCTCTATTAGCATTATTATTCCAATTGTTCCGGTTATTAGAACTCCCCCCTTGGTGGTATTGGCCTTGATTTCCATATTTCCTTGATTGTTATGGTTATGGTTACCATAACCACTTTGTTGGTTGTAGTTACCTTGGGGATTTTGGTCCCTTTGGTTTCTACCACCCCATTGGTTGTGGTTGTGGTAATCATAATCATTTCCCCTTTGATTGAAATTATTCCCTTGCCCTCTTTGATTGGGTTTTAAGTATCGTTGGTTGTCATTCCTAGGTCTATTATCATAAGACAAGGCATTGACATGTTCATTTTCATACTCATTACCATCATCATTAAGGGATTGGGATTGGGAATCAAAATTACAAGAAGATGTATCATGGTCATAAGACCCACAATTATCAAAAAACATGCATCCACTAGGCATGTTATTAGATGTAGAAGTAGAAGGGTTAGAGCTTATACCTCTCCCCTTAGATTGGGAGGGAAAATCATGGCGCGAAGTAGAGGACTCAAGCTTAGCTTTGATCGATGACATCTCCTTTCCAAGATTTGTAATTTGGGATGTCAAGTTGTTTATAGCATTGAGGTGATCTACCGAATAGGCCGCCCCCCCACTCTTGCTTGTGGATTCTCTTTCATTTTCTTGCCAATCCATGTGGTGCCTTACCACATCTTCAATGATCTCAATCACTTGATCTTCGGTTTTATTCATGATTGGCCCACCGGCTCCCGCATCCAAGCTTGTTTTGCCTTGAGGACTCAAGCCTCCGTAGAAGATTTGTAAAACTTGGTATGTTGGGATTCCATGGTGAGGGCACTCTCTTTGGTACTCCTTGTACCTCTCCCAAGCTTCATAGATAGTCACACTACCCCTTTGCCGAAAACCTTGAATTAGAGCTCTTGCCTCGGCCGTTTTCTTTTGAGAGTAGAATCTCCCTCAGAAAGTCGTGGTGACCTCATCCCAAGTCCTCAAAGAATTGGGTCTCACCTCCTTCTCAAGCCATTCGAGAGCCCTTCCTATTAAGGAGAAAGGAAATAGTTTTAGTCTCACAAACTCTTGAGTGACCCCATTCACCTTGATCGTGTTGCAATATTTCTCAAACTCGTTCAAATGTGCAAGAGGGCTCTCGTGTTTTGCTCCACTAAATTGTCTCCTCTCAATCAAATTTATCATTGCGGGCCTAATCTCGAAGTCATTGGCCAGGGTGTTTGGGGGAGCAATCCCACTTGAAGCTCTATAAGCTCCGGGAGTTCCCATCTCCTTCAAAGGTCTTGGAGGTGGTGGTGGTGGGTTGTCACCCATTGGATTTCTTTGTGGTTCCGGGTTGGACTCTCTTCTTGGGGAAGTGGAGGACCGCGAACAAGATCTCCTTCTTCTTCTAAGGGTTTGCTCAATCTCGGGATCGTAAGGCACCGACTCACGATGTTGAGTCCTACGCATACGCACTCAACAAACACAATTAGTAGCAAGGCTACAAGCGTAGCCAAAAAGGAAAACAACTCTTTTTGTGTTTTTTTTTAAAAGGTGAATTAGACTCAAGCAATCAAATAGCAATCAACAACACCGCTCCCCGGCAACGGCGCCATTTTGACGAGCGCTAAATCGGTCGCACAATTTAGGCTCATTCAAACACATTTATAACAAACACCTCACTCAAACAAGTACAATGGCAAGCAAGGGTTCGGTCCACGGAGAACGGGAATCAATTGCTAAATAATCTTAATGCTCAAGCTAAATCGAAATCAAGGTATAAGTGGTGATTAACTAACAAACTACAACTAAAGGTTGAATTCAAAGGATTAAAACACTAGGGGAATGGGATTCACTCAACCAATAGCAATTAGGCAAATAGGGAGGAATAAGGATAATGGAATAGCAAAGACCACATGCAAGACCAACATCAAACGATATGAAAACAACTCAAATTACTAAGCTTAGATCCCTCATTAACTTAGAAACAAAAGATACATAATCATATTGCAATAGGTAATGAAACATTCAACTCACATTTCCATGTCGAACCAAACATTTCATGCCATCAAGTTCAATAATCTAGGTTAATTACTCATATCATGAAGAACTAACAAGCAATCCCATGCATATAATCAAATTTAATCGCAATCCATCATCAAAATCACTACCAAACTCACATAATCACCAATAGGTTGAGTTTCACCCAACCCCTAGCCAAGAGGACTACTCACAATTCATTGTGAGTACATGCAAATTCCAATTTTGGATTATAAGTGATTCTAAAATTTGGGGAAAAGTGATTATCTATGGACAAAGCTAACATGCAACAACAATATATCAAGATTGAGAGAAAATCAAGTGGCTTACAATACAAAAATAAAATCAGAAAATAATGAAGGCCAAATGAAAGAAGTTACTATTGAAGCTTCAAAAATGTTGGATAATTGCTAAAATTCTTAAGATAAATCTTGAAATTTGCTTCTACAATGATTAGATTTGAGAGTTTCTAAAACTAAATCAACTAATTTAATGAAGTTGCTAACTAAGAGAGAGTATTATTTTTTTTTTGCTGAAAACTATTCTAAAAATCTGTTGTCCTCTTCTCACTCCTCCTTGTTGTTTTAAGTCATAATTTTGAGTTACGAATCGCAGCAGAAGGGCGCGCCCGCGCGTTAGATGGTGGCGCGGCCGCTCCAGGTTAAGCGCGCCCGCTCCAATATGGGTATCAAGGGACTGGGCCAGCTCAGCGCGCGCCCGCGCCTGGAAGTGGCGTGCCCGCGCTTTGGTGACGCGCCCGCGTCTGGTGCCATGCCTTAAATCTTTGCTCTAGCAGTCTGCTCTTTCCCAATCCGAATCACCAGCAATACTCTGCAATTACAAAACAGGAAGGCAAAGCGTAATACAACGTAGGGGAAGGGAAGTAAAGGCACCTAAACCAAATTGAAACACATTACACAACACATAGGTGGACTACTTAAATTAGGCAAAACATAACAAAAGCACCCTGGAATGAACCAAATTACCGCTAAAACTACTGGAAAAGACTACCCTAGGAGTGACATAAATGTCACTCATCACCTCCCCCCCCCCCCCCCCAAGATTCTTAGAATACATCAGACCTGCAAAGATGCCAAATTCTCTTCAGACAAAGCAGCCTGCTTCTTCAGATAACTGACAAGTGCCTCAATTTCAGCATTTTTTGCAGCTATCGCTTCAGCCATGTTTGACTCAACTCTGTTTACTTCTGTTTTGGCAGCAGATAACTCCAGCTGCAGTTGTTTTATGTGACTCTCAGATGATTTACTAAGCTCCCTCTGCCATGGAACATAAAAGCATACATTACAAAATGAATTCATATATAAGATTAAAGTTGAAGCCCAACAAACCTAAATCTAGGAGGCAAGAGAGAGGGTTTACTTCAGATGTAAGAAGCTCCTCTAACTGAGCATTTTCAGACTTGTATTCCTGAAGACGGGATGAAAGTCCAGCACAAACCTGAAAAGAAATATAACCAAAGTTTAAATGAATTGTGGATGTAGGATTTTTGAACCACAAAGATAAGCCAGAGAAGAAATTTCATGCTGCTGCATAAGTCACATGAACTCCGTAGCCACCAACAAGGCAAGGAAGGTGAGAAATTGGCAGGAATCCTTTCCCAACCTGTAAGTTGTTAAGTAATTAAATACCTACATCCTTCGTTTCCGATAACATAGAAATCCTCGAATACCCCCATAGTGTTTCCAATATAAGTAGGTTATGGTGAACGTTGTATTGACAACTTTCAAGTGGTACATAAAATAACATAATACGTTAAAACTTAAAAGTAATATATGAATGTTATGCACAAAACAGACATGATTTTAGCACTGCAGATCATTGGCACTTGTCAATTCAAGCACATACAACCTTCAGAATCAGGCTACTTTTGTATTATGTCATAGTGTTTGGGATTGCTCAGCATTTTATTTTTAGATGCTTTCTCAAGTAGTATATGGAGTCAGTGTTTCAAAAATTGCTTATCAAAGAGAGGGGCTTACTTTGAAAGCTGAACTTGATCATAATATTATTAAGGATAGCAGGAGACATCACCATAGAAAGATTACTATATGGCGTTTCTTATTACCCTATATTTGATCTAACTGTGGAGAAATTATCTGATTTCTTATCAGAAATGCAAGAGTAGTACTTCGCATAATTGTGTATAAAATAAAATTTGTTTTTGTTTAGCATGTAGCGCAAAAGAGAACATGATAGTGTTGCAAATGATGAGTGATTAACCTCGGACCTAGAAGGTAGGGGGTGCTTTCATGCCAACTTTTTTTTGAACTTGTAAAGTGATTTGAGGAGTTGTAGCTGTTGCAATCTGTACTTTTAGCTCCATAATAAACTTAACTTTATTTGGAAAGATAACAACTTTATTTGGAAAAATAAAAAGAAAAAAGTTAAATTGTTAAAAAAACTTTTACAGCCTCTCAGTTTCACAAATCAATTCCCACACAGAGTTTATTAGATGTTTTCACGATTTACCAGAGCTCACTTCCCGAGCTAAGACCATTGCAACGCGGCAAACCTTGAGGACACCTCAACTACAATGCTTTGCGATTTTATGTCCTTGGTTTAGGGTGCACCATGGCCCCAAGTTACATGCTTTGGCCAGGTTTAGGTTCTTGAAGGCCATTCTAATTAGAACCTATGCTGGCTTGGGAAGCACCTTGTCCAGTGTTTTATGATTCTATTTACCCTAGGTCCAGGACCCGGGGTGCTTCACGGCCTTGAGATATTTGTAATTTCGCATGTGAAGCCCTCCTAGGTCATTGAAAAGTAAGGTCACCACAAGAAACCCATGTGTGCCCCACTCTGAGTTTTCCACCTTGGAAAGTTGTAAGTCATGACTTATAGCCTTTGGCCTAGGCATGTTGGTATAATCTCACCAATACATATCTTGGTCACGACAGCTATTTGCAACCCAAGACGACCACAAGACACAAGTCCACCCTACTATAGCATTGCCCAAATTGGTCCTAGAATGCCCCAAAGCGGAGTATCGAATAACAATTTTACTGCCCACACATACACAAGTAGCAGGCCACAAATACACCACAGAAAGAAGAAACGATGTAGCAACAAAAACACAGCAAAACAAGCAACATGTAGCAGCATCACCGAGCACACATCACAGGCACCAGAAGACACAACAACAAAAAATTACAGCAAAAAACACCGTAACACCATACCGCAGCAAGAACATACACAATAATCCAAGAAACACATCCCCCTACCCTCCCCGCCCCCCGAAACAATTAATCCCAACATCGACAACAAGCAAGCAGAAGTACCACAACACACAAGCTCTGCACAACACACACTGCAACCACCACACCCACCGCCGCACCAATTTAATAAATAACAGTACATCTCAAAGAAACAAAAACAAAATCACAGCAATCACACACTAACACACACAGTACACAAGAAATCTTCAATAGTTAACAAATATCAAACAAAATTAAACTAAAAATTAGGGTTAGCGGCGGAACATACAATGCAGAAGGAGGCAAAATCAGTGTTTTCTGGATCTTCCAGGAAATTGTTGCTGCTTCTCAGTAGCAACTTTGAAAATCCAGTACACTTGAAACAGAAATATCAACAAAAGTAAGAGAGAGAAAATTGAAACGAAAAAGATGAAGAAGAAGAGTGCGATTGGTGGTACCAAAGCTATGACATGAGCAGCGATGAGAAGGACGATAAAATTGCAGATATTGAATGAAAATTGTTTCTGAAAACCCTAGCCATCGATGGAAACGCTTGCGGCGCAGTGGCGGAGAAGGAGATCGAAGAAAAAGGGGGGAATTGACGATAAACCCTAGAAAAAGAAGGCTGTGCCGCCGTGACAAGGAGGCCGTTGTGGTGGAGGCGGAGCCGTGTGCGCTTCAATGACAAGCCCTAGATTACCAGAACCCTAAAATTACGAAATTGAAAACCAAATCAACGACAAACCCTAGATTGCGAAGGAATTCGGTAGATTAAGAAGACCACAACAAAAATCTTACCTCGAAGCTGCTTCAATGGAGGTGAGAAAGCTCAGAATCCGCTTCAATGGAGAATAAAGAGCACGAGTTCAATGGAGAAGAGATATGGAGATAGAAGGAGGTGCGGCTGCTTCAACGGAGTGAGAAAGCTCATAAACGGCTTCAATGGAGAAGGTGGGAATTCGAAGGTGGTGGAAGAGAAGGTGAGAACGAGGGAAACAAGAAGATGGAAAATCAGGGGGAAAGAAAGGAAGAAGAAAATATATGCGAGCTGGGTTTTTTTTTTTTTTTTTTTTTTTTTTTTTAATTTTGCACGGTTTGAACCGGTGCTAAATCACTATCTCGTACCAGTTTGGTCTTAACCAGTGCGAAATCCCTTTTTCCTTTTTTTTCTCTTTTTTAATTCGCACCAGTTCAAACCGGTGCGAAAAAATTATTTCGCACCGGTTTATTAGGAACCGGTGTGAAAAGTTTTTTTCTCAATCCCGCCCATTTCTTTTCCCACCGGTTTTCAAGAACCGGTGCGAAAAGTGCGATGCCTATTTCATTTTTTCTACTAGTGGGGTCATTATGTACCTCCTCCCCTGATTCTGCCAAAATAGAATCACTTGGGGTGCTTGGGACGCTTGGTGGCACGTCCGAGATCTCACTAATCGGCGCATAGAATGAGGAGTCGTCTGAATATGTTATCCTGACCGTTCTCTTTGTTCTGGCCATGGTGTCCTGCACAGACACATAGAAAGTCGGACTCTGGGCAGTTTGCAAAGGGTGGTCCAACATGGGGCAGTCGGCACTCCTAGTTCTAGATTCAGCCGTCCTCGGTGACCAGCTGATCACTAACCTAGGTCGTGTCGTATGCTTTTTTGCTACCATTTTTGAAAAAAGAAAAGCAAAGAGAAAAGTACAAGAGAACAGGCGGTTACCTTTGAGTAGAGAAGTCTGAACTTTTGGAAAATCGGCGGCTGAAGAAGCAGGCGGTCTGAAAACAGACGGTCTGAAAGCAAGCGACAGTCGTCCAAAATGTCAAAGCAAACGTCCAAAGTTCTATTTTAAAAAGTTTCTAAAATGTCCAAATCGGTTCTTGAAAACTGGTGGGAAAAGAAATGGGCGGGATAGGGGAAAATACTTTTCGCACCGGTTCCTAATAAACCGATTTTGCACCGGTTTATTAGGAACCGGTGCGAATTACGAAATATTAAAAAAAATTAATAAAAGGGGAAGGGATTTCGCACCGGTTCAGTCCAAACCGATGCGAAATAGTGTTTTAGCACCGGTTCATACCGGTGCGAAATTAAAAAAAAACCGGCCTGCTATATCTCTCTAATCCGCCTCTTTATTTCACTCTCCCTGGTTCTGCTCTTCTTCTCTCTCATCTCTCTACCCTGCTCTCGTTCTCTCTCATCTTTCGTTCTGCTCTCATCTCTCCTTCCTCTTTCGTTCCCATCTCGTTCTACTCTCATCTTCATGTGAGGTCTTCGATTTTCGTTCGAATCTTGTTCGAGTTAAAGCAAGTGGTGAACGATTGAAGTGCGATCTGAATCCTCCATTGAAGTGCCTTCTTAGCTCTCTCTCCTTCTCCATGAAGCAGCTTTTGAGGTACGCTCTTAATTTTTTTTAGTTGGGCTTTTAGGGTTTTGTTTAATTTGAAATTTATTTTTTCAATTTCTTTTGGTTGAAGCAGTTTTATGTTCCTGTTGTTTTCAATATGTTCAATGTGTTTTCGATTTTTTTGGGTTGAATCTTTGTGGGTGTATTTTAGTGCGAAATCGTTTCGTTTTTAATGGGGTTTATTTGATCGATTTGTGCTCGATTTTTTGGGTTTATTTGTTCCATTGGTTTTCGATTTTTTTGTTTTCTCGATTTAGTTTCAAACTTTTGGGGTTTAATTGTTTGATTGTCGTGGATTTTTCCATATATATGTTCCTGTTGTTTTCGATATGTTTGATTTGTTTTCAAATTTTTTGGGTTGAATCTTTATGGGTGTATTTGTGCGAAAATCATTTCGTTTTTAATGGGGTTTATTTGATCGATTTGTGTTCGATTTTTTGGGTTTATTTGTTTGAGTGGTTTTCGAACTTTTTGGGGTTTCTTTGTTCTATTTATTTTTTGTTTTTTTTTGTTGCAATTTTGCAATTTTTTGGGGTTTATTTGTTTTTTTGGATTTTTTTTTTTTTTTTTTTTTTTGTCTTGAATTTGAGTGATTTATTTTTTTTTGGGTTGATTTTTTATGTTGTTGATGATTTAAAGTTGCAATTGAAGCAATTATTGATATTATAGTTTCAGAATTTGGATTCTTCAGAACCATCATCGCATAGACAACGGGCCGGAGGAGGAGGGATTTGTTTGTGAGGTACTCTGAAAAGCACTTTAATGGTGCTTATGAATTCAGGTATGAATAATTGAATATATGTTTTTGAATTTAAATTAATTTGCTGATTTTTTCTGCCATTTGTTTAGGCGAAATTTCTTTGTTTGTTATTAGTCGATTAAGCTTCATGTTGTTTGTATGGGTTTTTATTTGTGAGTTGAAATCCAAGATTTTTAAAATGAAAAATTGGATTTCTTGGGTCTACTGTTTATTGAAACACCTTTTCTGTTTTCGTCTATTTGGAATAAACTGAGCTCTAAGGTTATGTATTAAGTCCTTTCTTTTTTTCTTTTTTTTTATAATTACAGATAAGTCCTTTCTTACATCTCAATGGATTTTAAAGAAAGAGATTAGGAGCATGTGAAGTATGATGGGAAGTATGATGGTTATGGAGTTGAAACATGGGCAAAAGGGAGTAGATATAGGGGTCAATATAGGAATGGATTAAGGCATGGAATTGGGATTTATAGGTTTTTTACGGGGGATGTTTATCAAGGTGAATGGTCTAATGGTCAATCTCATGGTTGTGGGATTTACTCTTCTCAAGATGGTAGTAAGTATGTTGGTGAATTCAAGTGGGGTGTTAAGCATGGATTTGGTTATTATCAATATAGGTAATTTTTTGGTTGAATTAGTTTTATTAATATTTTGATTGGTTTTAGAATTGTTATTATGTTGCTTAATGTTTTGTGGTATTTTTTGTGTAGTTTGAAGTTTCATGTGTTACATTGTTGTTTGTTGGTGTTTATGTCCATTATTAGTTTGCTATTATTTGGGTTTGGATTGGACTATAATAGAGTAAATCAATTATCTTATCATATGCTTGCTTATTGTAAAGGATCATATATGCATTATGTTTTGGAACTCGGATCAATGTAGGAAATTTATCGGTTACTCTACAAGTGAGGTCAAGCATAACTGTGTATCCAATGCATCCTACCTTGCCATGGTTAGTGGTAAAAGACTAGGAGCCTCTTTGAGGTGTTGAGGCTTAAGTGTTTTGATGAGGTTTAAGCACCTTTTTTTTTTCCCTTTCCAAAAAGAAAAGGAAGTGTTTGATGTTAATGCGCATTGTGTCGGGTGTTGTAACATTGGGGATGAGTATTTTAGGTTGAAATGAAGAATCAATATAAAACAAATTTGTCTGATTTATGTTTTAACTACTTTCATTGTCTGGATGATTTGGTTGGTGAAGCAGATTTATGGTAGTTGTTAGCAACTTCTCTGTTGCTTTTTTTCCTTGAGTAAGCTACTAAATTCATAATCTGTAATTGTAAAGACAAGCTAGTTGTTGTATGAGCCTTCTAAGAAAAGTGTTTCTTCTTTAGTAATCCTTTAACTACATTTCTATTGGTCTTTTGCTAACTAGCAAGTGAGGGAGTATTTCCTTGGTTTGGCTGTATATGTGGAGTTGACACTTGACAGTAGAACATATCATGGTCTTGTTTGCATCATGTTTAACCATGCATTAATTTTTTTGCTGTGGTTATAGAGTTATTTTAGTTAACAACATTGGAACTTATATACGTTTTGCTGATACTCACTAAACGACTTCTATTTGTACTACCTGTTTGTTAAAAGAGTCACTGGATAAATGATACACTCTTCACTATTGTTCTATAAAATTGTCAGAAAAGATATTATTGAACAAACCTCAGATGCTATGAACTTCAATGATTTAGTGTGGCTTTTTAATCCCAGCAAAAGGCTAAGCCCATGATATTCGTACTCATTTTGCAGAAATGGAGATTTGTATGCTGGTGAATACTTTGCTGATAAGATGCATGGTTTTGGAGTTTACAAATTTGGCAATGGACACCAATATGAGGGGTCCTGGCATGAGGGCAGAAGGCATGGGCTTGGTGTTTACACTTTCAGAAAATGGGAAGCTCAATCTGGTTACTGGCAAAATGGGCTTCTTGTCAAGGCTAGCTGTCAAACTCAACTGCCTGACTCCCCCTTTTCAGCTTACCCTTGCAAAGTTTCTATTGCTATCCAGATAAGAACGCTCTACTTCTCCATTATATGAAAATATTGTTGATTTTTTTAGTCTTGGTGTCTATTGTTTAGCACAGACAAGTGCTACTGCAGTCTAATTATACTCCCTTCGTCTAGGTATAGTAGTCACATATACTTAATTAATATGTCCGAGATTAATGAATGGTATGTGATTGACTTTCCCACTAATAAAGATTGATTAATTAGAAGAGAACTACAAAAATAACTATAATATAAGGTTTTTAGTAATATTGGGCCATATTCTTAATATGAGGAGATGAAACTTGGGAAAATGTAACCATCAGTATCTGAATTTTCTGCACTTATTCTGTATGCAGAAAGCAAGGCAAGCATCTGAAAGAGCATATAAGGTGAAATCAGTAGATAACAGGGTGAACAAAGTTGTAGCAGCTGCTAATAAAGCAGCTAATGCTGCCCGAGTGGCTGCTGTGAAAGTTGTTCAAACAAGGATGCATAAAGGAATCGATAGTAAAACATCGCTTCAATGTGTAATTAAACTCCTCATGAAAACATAACAAGCCAGCACTTGAATTTTCTGGAGGATCAGAATTCTATTCCCAAATTGATATCCTTGCTTATCATATGCTGTTTGATTTTCATACTTCGTCTCCATACTAGAAAAGAGAATGAGAACTGCTTTTTACTACAATCAGTAAAAGCAGATGTAGATGATCAAAAAGGTCAAATCTCAATCTTCGTAGCTTGTAAACCAAAATGTACATAGCTGAATATTAGTGATGTTCTGGAAATGGCACCGAAGGTAATGAAGGAAATGGCACCGAAGGTGTTGAATATTAGTTTGGTTGAATATAAATCTTCTAATACAGAGATCAATGCTCCTGTGTAGCTGTTTCTGTTCTGTTGATGTTAGCTATCTGGTTGTGTCTGCTCAGCTGGTTGTCCTGTTCAGCTATTAGATGCTGGTTCTTTTATCTTGATTACTGCAGGGTTGGTTTTCCTATCTGTGATGCTGTGAGCTGCTGTTTCTGCTACAATGCTGTGTCTGTTGTGCTGTGATGTCGAGTTTTCCCTGTGTTGATGTGATGCGCTGCTGTGTTGGTGTTGCTGTGTTGCTGTCTGCTTCCTTTTGTAGTGCTGTGTTGCTGGTTTATGGGGTGCTGTGATGCTGAGTTGATGTGCTTGCTCTGCTGCTTTGGTGTTGCGCTGTGTTTTGTTATTTTTGTAGCCTGTTGAGCTGCTTAGTTTAAGCTGTTTAGTTTGCTATTTATATGCTTCATTAGAACAGGTTTTTGGAGTATTTGAAGTAAATTTGTAACTTTATATATATGTTAGTGTTTATATATCAATTTAAGTGAAAAAAATGCAAAAAAAAAAAAAAAAAAAAAAAAAAAATATTGTTTTTTTGGCATTTTTGGCACCAGTTTTGGAAAAGAACTGGTGCTAAAAGTTTTTTTTTTAAAATTTTTTTGGGGACTTTTGGCACCGGTTATAAGTAAAAACCGGTGCGAAAAGTCATTTTTCCCACCGTTTTTGAACCGGTGCGAAATCTATTGGGTTTTAGCACCCCCCCCAAATCCAACCCAGTTCAAAACCAGTGTGAAATGGGGGGTTTAAACCGGTGGGGAATTCGTTTTTTTCGCCTAGTGAAGTTGGACCAATCAGACCACGACACGTGGCAGACACATAGCCCATCAGGAAAGTAGCCTCCTACGGCCAAACTTCCTAGGCAAAGCACAGTCACTCCTAGGTCTCTGAAACCTAGTATTGGGCACGTTTTCCAACACCCTAAAAAAGGGAGATATTCCCTTTGAGGAACATCATTAAAAAACATTTAATTCACATTAACTCACAATCAGAGAAAGTCAGACATCTGACACCTCGAACTGAGCAATTTCACATTGCAGATAATCTCTTGGAATCCAAGAAAAAACCCTCTACTTTCCGCACTTTACTCCTCATACACGTTCTAACTTGATCGACACCCACCCGCAGGAGTCTCCGTTGTTTTGCAGGTACAGGCGTCCAGAGGTCAGTCTTGGAATTGTAACTCTTCCGCAGGACATCAAAAAAACCCCGAAACAAAAGTACATTAAGATCACTTATTATTTAGGAAGCCCCAATTTATCTCCTTGATAAATAAAATTTGTTTATCAAATGGCAAAATTGTAAAAAAAATCAACAATTTTCCCTAGTCATCATGACATTTTTTTAAATAAATCAACTATTGTGGGGTCCATTTTCTAGTCATCATGGCATGATAATAAATAAATCAACTATCATGGGGTTCATTTTTTATAAAAAGTTGTTGATTTATTTGCAGTTTTGCCATTTGATAAATATATTTTGTTTATCAAGGAGATAAACTTATATTTTCTCATTATTTTGAAATAAATTAAATTAGGACAATTAAGGCCTTGTTCACTTCACCTTAAAAAAATAATATTCAGTAAAAATAATTTCAGTTCAGCCTAAATAATTCCAGTTCAGTAAAAATCAGTAATCATAAAGAAGAAATATAATAAAGAATCAGTAAAAATAATTTCAGTTCAATAAAATTAATTTAGTTCAATAAAAATAATTTAAGTTCAGCAAAAATAATTTCAGTTCAGTAAAAATAATTTTTATTCAGCAAAAATAACGTGAAGTGAACGGGGCCTAAATGAAGGTTATTGTTGAATAATTTAGAGTATTGTTGACAAATTCATGTTGTTTGATTAATTAACTTAGGTTAAGGTGTTGGTAATTTATAAAACAAGTTTTAAAAGCAATAAAGTTCTCCGTAGAGGAGTTGAAATCAGCCTGATCAGGGCTAGCTTCGTCTGGTAAGGCGCGAGTGCAAGCCTGCGGAGGACTGCAGGTCTGTCGCCCGGTCCGGGGCATCGCCGCCTGGCCGGGCGTGAGAATGAAGAAAGAATAGCGCTGGGTAGCCGCCCGATCGGGGCCAACAATGCCCGGCCGAGTGCGAGAACAAGGTTTTTAGAAAGGGCTTTCTCGCCCGATAGGGCAACCGCCACCTAGCCGGGTGCGTGAACACCCAAAACATTAAGTGTGAAGTCGCAAGAGTTTTTGGTAAATTTTAAATTTTTTTCATATATTACAACATGTTGTCTCAAGCACCATACCAAGTACGAATAAAAATAAGATTTTAATGAAGATAAGAGCAATGATCATCGATCATCCAGAATCCTTGTTTGTTTTTATTATTATTACTATTAACTGATTACAGCTTGCTCTTAGGAAGCCCAGTGGGAGCACTTCTTGATTTTTTCTCTACTACTCGAGAAAGTTCCTTCACTGCATCTTTGGGCAGATGGCGTGGCCGGCTCAGCCAGAGTCCTCCATCAACTGGAAGTGTTGATCCATTGACGTATTTACCTGAAAAATTGCAGAAGTTGATTCAAATCAGCAGTGTTCTTACAATTGCTTAAGAGGAAGATTATGTGCTTTATAAACATAGAGACAGCGTAATGTATCTAGTTAAGTTATTTCTTGTTGGTCTGCCAATCGTTAAGTCATTTTCGGTCTCTCTCTCCCTCGTTTAACCCCATCATGGTCCCACTCTTCCACTGTTCGTACCGGTGCACCCTCGGGTCTCCATTACCATTTTGAGGGACATTTGAAAGGAAGAAAAGCAAAGAAAGCGATTCTTGACATAACCCACTATAATGTTTGACCTTTGCTCCCTCTCCTTCATTGCAGCCTTTTAAGAAATCTTTTTTATTTTCTGTTTTCCGTCTCCTCCATGTTCAAATGTCTTATCAGTTCTCAGCATAGTGACGGTAAAAAGTAGGAATAGGAAACTGCAAGGAAGAAAAGACGGATATCTACCAATATCCAATTTGGACAAAATGTGACAAATTATCAGATTCCAATACCCTTCCCTTTTCCTTCACCATCTCAGTTACAAAAGCAGAAACTCTCCCTTTCTTTGGTTCCTCCGATCAATTTACTGCAAATAATCGATGAAAAGAGTACAAAACATTTGCCATCTAGTTGGTTCCAAGTCCTTTTACATTGACATGGTAACGCAGACGGTAAGTGCAAATATGCTTTTTATCAAAGGAACAGTCATTGTCCAACATCTAAAATCAAAAGGTAGGACCCTTTTCCCAACCACTGGGATACTAATGTACTACTGAAATTTTTAGAACTATCAGCAATGCCCTGATTTATAAAGATGATTTTACAAAGCCATATCAAGTTTTACAGAAATTAATTTCTAGACAGAATTCATAACCGCAGTTATATGATTCCTGATCGAGCAAAATAATCTTCTGGCCCAAATAATGCACAAAAAAAAAAAAAAAAAATGGGTAGGGGGAAAAGGTAAATAAGTACCAAACACATTCAATAGATTATATACAGAACATACTTACAAATACTAGGGAGGAAAAGAGATAAGGAACCCTGATTAATGATCATGCCTGGTGTAATTCTCATATATCAACTAAAAATCTCTTAAAAATAGAACAGATGTCTGATTGAAATACAAAATGTTCTGAGATATGGCAAACTGGCAACAGGAAGCCCGCCTCAGACATTCCAAGTTGTGAAGCAGGGAAATTATTTTGGACAAAAGTAATAATAAATTACTAATAATACGCAGCATGACTAAGCTCCATCAAGACACAAACCATCAGCGTTTGGCACTCTATGCATGGTTACCAAAAACGGTGACTTAATTTTATACACACAGCTCAATAGCTCATATTTGGAGCAGAGATACCAAGAAATGAAAATTAAGGAAGATAAAAATCAGACTTCACAGGTTGTCTAGTGAGTTAATTTTTTATTTATTTGTAAACAATTTAGGCAACAAATTCTTTCAGCTTGAGAAGGTTTTTTAGGGGGGGGAGTAACATCAGAAGAATATTTTGTAAGAACATGCCAACACAAAAATTTATGAGAGATTAGTTCCATAAAATTTCCAAATTTTTTTGCAATATTAGAGCACCTTGTAAAAGTGAAGCCTCACTTAGCAAATAAAGCAAACAATCACAGAGAGACTACACTCAGGAACGTTGGATGTCAACACAAACTACAGATTTGAAAATGGTTCCATATTCAATATTATTATAAAGGAGGGATGAGGAATTAAAGAGATTTTTGGAGCATAAATATATCTTAGTTTCAATGAAAGATATTAGTAAAAATCAAGCAGGTATGCAGGGAAGTAGTAGTTAAGTAGTTTGGTTGTCAATCTAATGTTGCATGTGGAACAATTATTAATATAAATCTGTGTTTTTGGTGTACCACACCACCTAACTGAAAAGTGACAGCTGCTTACTGTCCTTCTACATGGAAAAGGAATGTATCTACATTCTTTTTTCTTCCTACTGATTCACAAGCTCAAGTTTGCGTAAAAGAACTAAATTTCAAATTTTTTAACAAGGCATAAATAGTAAGAATAATAATATTCGACACTACAGTGCATGTCTATGGAGAAATGCAACTAGACCAGTACACTTGATATCATAAATGCCAGCAAGCATATATACGTCAATAAGCCATGGAGTCAATAATTGCACATCTTGACATCATTTTCTAGTAAATTTAGGAAGAGAGGGGGGGGGGGAGAGAGATGTTAGTAGTTTCTATAACAAAATACAACTTTTTATATACTAAGTACCATAATTAGGTACATCAAGTAGTAAAGAAGGAAAAAATACATAAAAATGAATTACTCACCTGCATCTGACGCAAGATAAACCGCAGCCATAGCAATGTCCCATTTCTCACCAAGTTTATAAAGTGGCATGTAATCTTTAGCTTTGCTTGTTATCTCTTCAGGTGCAAGTTTACTCATTCCAGGTGTATCACCAATTGGACCTGGCGCTATTCCATTGACTCTAATATCATAATCTGTACCCCATTCCAATGCCAAGTTTCTGGTAGTTGCATCAACAGCTGCCTGCGTCACCACCCACCAACTGGCAATTAATGGGGAGAGAAAGGAATAACCTAGAATACTGGAAGCAAAAAAATGTTTTTAAGGACCCAGATATAGCACTTTGTACAACTAACCTTGGCCGCAGATACATGAATTTGATACCAAGAAGCTGTGTAATGCAATGTCGCACTTATATTCAATATTAGTCCACCACTGGATTGCTTCCTTTCTGGGCCCCCTTTCTTGAGATATTTTAGTGCTTCATGGCACATAGTGAATGTCCCAACAGAATCAATATCCATCACTGCAGAGTAAGAAAGGTATGCAGTCAGTAGACAACATTAAAGATTTCTTAAAACTTCAAGAAAATTGATGTCCGCACTAGGGGTATTATTGATTTTAAAAAGTGCATGAACTTGAGCTCCACCTGACTTGAATAAATTGCAAGCGCATCACAAACTCAATCTTGAAATCGACTCAATGAATTCTAGGTTTGAACTTGACTCAAGATAGACTTGAAGATAAATGTCAATTAGTTTAAAATAACTACAAAGTGTATTAATATAAAAAATGTTTGAATAAGGAGTAAAAATTAACAACTTTTGAGTTTGTGTATTTTGAAAATATATTTAGCAATTGGCATATTGCTATAGCGATATACCAGAATAAGTATTAAACTAATAACTGGGTAAGACAAAAGTAAATGTGATAGAGGAAGCAACACTTCACTTAATTTTAAATAAGGAGCAGCCAATAGATGATGTCCTACATTGCATTTCCCAAGTATTTCAATCTAATCTTGTAGCCATGGTATCTCCCCTCCCCTTATCTCCTCTTAGTGAGATCCATTAAGAAGGCAAAGCCATGAAGCCTACCATGGAATTCTCCTCTTGAGGGCTTTTGCTTACATGATTAATATAATAGTAGGTTACTAATGAGGGGGCTAGAGTTTGCTATCTCAATAGACATATATGAGCTTTACAAACTCAAGTGTACATCTTGCTTACATGTTTCTTCATTTTTTAACCGTACAATGTGTGGAGGAATTGGATTTTGATTGGAAATAGCAAAAACTGAGACAACACGACCCGACTTGACACGAACAGAAACGGGTTAGTGCCAAGGGTTTACGACCCGTTTAACACGACATGACACGACACATTTAATTAAACAAGTCAGGTTGGTGTTGAGATTACCAACACAAAACCGATACAACTCAGCCCTCCTAAGAAACGTAACTAATAATTTAGGGCATTGACAATAAATCTCTTGAAAGAAGCCAACTCTTTTAAATATAACACGACCAAGAATCAAACAAGGAAAAAGTATATTAGTGTTAAGGGTTTCCGACACGTTTTTAAGTATATGGTCACCACGACATGACAAGTTTTACTAAACGGATTGCATTGGTGTTCAGTTTTCCCAACTAGCTTATTTTCAAATATGAACACAAGCACGGCACGATACAACACGCTTGCCAACTCTAATCTTAATGGGGGAGTCGATAACTCAATTTGGCATTGTGACTATTATATTTCATAGAACTGAAAAGGGCAAGGAAAAGAAGGTGATGGTGCAACTGAATCATGAAGTGCTTTACAAAACTTCAAGCACAATTGCACAATTTCTTGAGAAACAGTCTCTTGCTCGAAGATTTTTAGCTCAGTACTGGTCTAGGACTCAGTGCATGTGTGTGCTGCTGCACCATATTGTGGTTCAGGTTAGGAAAGGTGGTGGCATAAGACGTGGGAATGGTTGGGAGATGATGATTTCACATTGCAGCATGTTGGAAGCGACATTACTGTGTTACAGAACCTTTCCAACGACTTTTTACTTTCTTTACAATTGAATAAGTGAGAGTCCTGCAAGTGATAAATCATAGATTTATGAGAAAAAACAGAATGAGTTTTGGGCTTATCTTTACACGCTGACAACTTGGTTTAAGACTTGCAGATTCCTCCTGACTTTAATTTAATCTGTCATGTTCAAGCGGCTTTTGGCTAGTAAGTCTTTATTTTCTAGTATCATGTGATCTCTATTGTAAGGAACATAGAGTTATGCAATTTGCCTTCATATAGAGTTCATTAAGATGGTCTTACCATTTCATGAAGCTCGGATGCTGAACGTTAATTAAGCCAAAAAAAAATGTGTAAATGTCACTTTCTGATCAGGAATGTTTTGATGACTAATGAAGTGAAAAGTTTCCCTTACAATTTCATGTGTTTAGAAGAGTAATTTTAAATATTTCAAAAAGAGGAGTAATTTCAAAAGAAAGAGTGTTTCCATAATTTCAATGAATAGGTCTAAATTAAGTTAGTTAGACTACTTAGGCAAATGAGGCTTAAAAATAATAAAATAGAAAGCAGAAAAAATAAAGAAAATAAATAAAAATAATAATAAAAACAGCCTAAATTTTCAGCAATTTGTATTTTACATCTGGTCTCAAAAACATCCAAACTAATTTTCCATCCAAAATTTCTAGAATCCAAATTGAATTATCCTCTCTCCCTCCCTACCGCTCCCACCCCCTTTTGACGAGTGACATATAATGTCACTTCAAGGTTAGGTTTCGTGCTTGTTTTTAGCTTGTTTTTGTAGCTTTTGAATCCAATAATATTCATGCATTGTGCTTCACTGGTAAATGGTGAGTGCACGTTTATGCTCGTTTTCTTAACGGTTTTCATGCATTGCCTTATCAATTCTACTCTCCCATTTGCTTTGCTACCTTTGTGTAGGTTTCTTGGGATTCCCAAGTTTGTTGGGAGGTTGTTTGGCCGAGCATGGAAGCCTAGAAAGAAGCATGAAGCTAAGGAGGAGAGTGAAGGGAGAAATAGCAGGCCGTGCTCATGGGACCAGCACGCCCTCACCAGTTTTGTAAAAAAAGACTCCAAACAAACTGATTCCCTCATGCATGGACTGCACAGTTAGCTTGGATCTTGAGCATATTAAGGGTTAGGTTTGGGATTAATTGTGATCAACTGCTTTACTTTTCATGATCTTCCAATAATTTCATATGAATGGCCAATCATTTGTTTTAATTGGGTGAATTGACCAAGGATATGACGATAGTGTGATCTACTGAGATTCATTGAAAGATTTCTTTTAATTGTACCTTGTTGTATGCAAGCTTATGATGATAGAGTAATCTTGTGTGTATGAGAAATCAATCAACCCCAATAGGTTGATAGGTTGTTGGATTGTGCTTTAAATCATTGATAATGAATTTGTTAGTTCACATCTTATTCTCATTTCCTATACCCTTGGTGTTGCTTGAGTGAAGAGTTATGCTTGACCCATTTCCTTCGTGCTTGATTGATGTGATTACTTCATTCATAAAATCTCTAGTCTTTGTTTAGTGTGTTTAGTTTAATCACTTTAGTCTGTAACGAGCTAGCTAAATCTCCATACTTTACTAGATATGTTAGGATTTATAATTGTTTTGATAGTTAGGGTGTTTTATTTGACAATAGAAAATATCCTTCATCACCTCTCTCTTTCTCTCTCCAATTAGAATACCCTATTTTTCTCCCCCCTCCCCCCCCCCCCCTTTTCACCATAAAATCCATCCATCTCCTATGCATATTTTCATTTTCTCTCTTCTCTTTCACTTTGAAACATCAATCGATATTTTTCATTGCTTCAAATCTTCCTATAAAATATCTCTCCATCTCTAAAAATAACAACAACAACTCTCCAATCTCACTTGAGATCAATTTTCCAAAAATACCAACAATTGGTAGACACAAAATGAATATCCCATTTTCATTACCAAATCCAATTAATCTTGTTAAGACATAAAAATATGTAAATATTATTTGTCCATATTAGCCTTCTAATATATTAGGGTATTGTGTGTAAACCCTAGTATGCGATGTATATATACTCTGTGAATATTGAATAGAAGCCTCGAAGGAGAATTATCGTATCAATCTTTCTCTCTTCATCTTTGTTGGGTAACTTGCATGCAACATTGTTGCCTAATTACTCCACCAAAATCAAACCCATCTTTGAATTTCATACGGTAACTGAGAAGTTTTTTTTTTTTTTTTAAAAAAAAAAATTTCCCAAATGAGTTAATTATGTAATTTCAATCAAATCACAAATTTGCTATGAATTTGTCATTTTTTTTGTTTTTGGAAAATTGTTTGACTCTGATGTTTATTGTAGCAAATTTTGAGCAAAACAAGCTAATGAATGCATTTTTGCAAATGAGCAAATTTATGTAATTGAGTTCATCTAAAACAAACAAGTTTAAAATTTATTGCACGGACTTGTAAATTGGTTATTGTGTTACTCATTTTGAGATAAATGAGCAAAATTCTTTAAAATGGCATTTTGTAGACATGCGAAAGTTCTGCTCATATATGATTAATGAAAGAAAGTTACAAAGTCATGTTTAAGAATTTACTCATTTTATCGAATAAGCAAAATTTTGTATATTAAAAGATCAACAATTAAAATGTTCATCAGTTAACGTTGCAAGCTTAGATTATTTAGGTTGTTTCGTATATTGTTTGATGAGATGATTTGATGAATTAGAAGGTGTTGTGGCATAATGCCTTTTTGTCTATATCGTTGTACAGTGGTGTCTTTGGTTAGAATGGAAAAAAAATTGTGTAGGAGCTAGACGATCAGACAAATTGCCATGGGATAGAGTTACCCAGGCTTTAGTGGGCTCATCAATCATATCGATCAGGCTTACATGTAACAGCTTCTTAAGTTAGAAAAAAGCCTATCTTCCTACGTGCTCTTCTTATTTAATTCAACACATTATTCTCTTATTAAAAAGCTATATTTTTTTGGGTTAAATTATGCTCAGAGGAGCATATATTTCGTGAGACTCGATTTAGGTTTAGGCATTTTGCTACTTTATCTCTGAGTATATTGCAGATTGAACACGCTAATTTTACTAAATAAAGCAACGCCATCCGACTACAAAGAAACACTGAAACTTTTCAACCCAAACCCTTAAACCAATCACCCATAACAAATAATGATCTCATTTAATCTACTAGAAACCACCCAAGGCAAGGAGACCAAGGACTCAATTTAAATTTCACAAATATGAAAGATGTCACTTAAGATGAGATGTAGGCTTTTCCAACCAACCGTTCATTTTTGAAATGTGTTTATCAGATTATTATTATCAATTTTGATAATTACATTTCTATAGCCATGCTCATATACTAGCTTCAAACAAAAATATTCTTTGCCTCTACCAATCAACTACTAACATATCATGAAAATGCCAGGTAACGCCAAGCTTGGACATAGCTGCATTATCTCGTACAACCACACTCAGACCAAAACCCATCAGGAAAAATCAATGAGCAGCAGCAACAGCAATAAAGAAAGGGGGCAACTGAAAGGTAGAAGCTTTTTAGAGGCTTGTTCTATCCCAGTAAGCAAATAAACTCCTTACGACTTTCTCAATACCCCATCTCCCCTTAATCTCTTCAACACACATTGCAGTTCACCTTCCTTTTACTCCAGCAAACTCACTTGCTTCCTCTACAAGCAAATCCTATACGCTAAAAATCTTTCCACTTTCCTATACCCAATGCACTACGACGAGTTGAAGTCCCTCCTCCCTGTCCTTCTTCAGTTCCCCTAGCAGCTTATCAATATAGGCAATGTTCCTAAAAAATCTCTCCATGGAAACTTCTCCTATTTCTACATTCTACCTCCCCAAATGGCCCACCAATATGACACAGATCTGCAACGTATTAACACATTCATCCTCTTAAAGCAAGCCCCAACAAGGTCACAAGGAAATAATCTGCTCAAACTCCCTGTGACACTCTTCCTAAAGCAGCATAATGAAGACACAATTCCTCCGAGTGTGTAATTCAATTTCCACCGTTGTCCATTCATGAAAGAAAAACTGTACAATAAAATTCCCCAAGGCTAAAAAAAACTTGTGAAGATCCAACCTAGGCTGGTTTGGGCTCCACTGTATGCCCTCCAAAAAAAATATATTTTAATTCTTGTAGTGTTCTAAGTTTTTTTCTATATGTCTGAACAACCCAAAGTTGCAGCAACCCCAAACTCAATAACCTCTGCCCAAAGAGAGCTTAGTCAGCTGAACGACCAGAATATTCCCTGTCCTCTAAATTCTAGCAAATGTTACCGACAGAAGAATGAGAACTCAATAGTATGATAAGGACTTGTTCTCTCTCAAATGGAAAGGGGCGCTAAATCTTTTCTATATACCAACAGCCAGAATTCTCATTGATTAGCTCACATACATTCAAATTCTCACACAAGTTACCTCTAGGCAAACTATCTGTGATTGAGTTCTACAAATCCAAGGACTCGCCAAACTTAATCTGTAGTCCACCATACACAAGCCATCTCATTCCTCACTATACCACCCATTTTGGCACCCTCAAACACCCCATCATTTCTAGCTAAGATTACATCCAGCAATGAACTCAAGACATCTATTTCTGGGAAACATCATGCCCTTGAGTTTAACCTGCCAAGGAAAAAGTGTGGGGCATACGACGCCACACTTGCTTCATCAAAAGCGCTGCATTAAACATCTTCAAATCAAGAAAACAAAGACCGCATGCTGCCTTGGTGCTACAAAGTTTCCTCCATGCAGCCCAATGCATCTTTGGCACACCTTTCTTTCAACTCTACCCAAAATGTGAAATCAATGAGTCAATGACTATAGTTCATCTGAAAATGAAGGAAGGAAATAAGGTTGGAATTAGATGGACCGCTACCTTAATCAAAATTTCTTGTCCTGCTTTACACAAAATTATAACTTTCCATGCTTGGAGTCTTCTAACACACCTTTTCTATAATACCTTTACTCCTTTAATTATCACCTTAGATTTTCCAATAATTATTGGAGAGCCCAAGTATCTATCATCAATATCCAGAATCTCACTCTAAAACTAGCAGCAAGGATCCCCTTTCTCTCCTTTATAAGATGATAGTTTTATCAAGATCCATTAATTGCCAAAAGCCTTTTTCATACACCTCCAAGTCACCTCACGAATAACCCCAGCTTTCTCAACATTAGCACATGCAAAAAATATACTTCTTCCTCCGTTTTTTATTAGATGCATCACTTTCAGATTCACAGACTCCTAGGCAATTTTTGGAGATGAAAGAGATAGAGAGAAAGGAAAAAGTAGACCTATGTGATATGAGAGAGAGAGAGAGAGAGAGAGAGAGAGAAATTTTATTAAACAAAAAGGAAAGTGATGAATCTAAATTAAAATTTCCAATATAGAAAGTGATGCATCTAAAAACAATAAGTATTATCTGCAGAAAATAATAGAGAAAATGCTAGCCTAGGACAGTTTCAAGAAGGGAGGGGAGATCCAGTGATGCGAGAGGGAAGAACCAACTTGAATTTTATTACATAATATATATTTGTTTCTTTTCATTTATTATTTTTTTGTTGGGGGATATATATGCCTCAATTCTCAAATAAACTCCAGATTTGTATGGTATGTTAGTAACTATCTCTGAATGTAGACTTGTGAGTTTGTTAATGAATAAGCTACTGTTATGATATAAAGTGAAAAATGATAAAAGGTGAGTGACGATGGTTGGAATTTTGTGCTTTACCTTGGAATTGTTAGTGGAATTGTTAGGTAGGATCTCTGGATGTTTGTTAGATTTGCAATGTGATTGGCATGAAAATTCATATATGGATACATGTTAAGGTTTTAGTATTCTAGCTTTTACAATTCGTTTTAGGATAAGAAATTTCTTTTTTCCAGTCTAAAAACTTATTTCTAAACACAAACAACGGATTTCTCCCGCCACGTGGACCAATTAAACTCTGCCACATGTCATCCACGTGGACCAACCAGAATCCGCCACGTGTCACCTCGTGAGAGGTCCAAAGTGGGCAGATTGCCAACTAGGAAAATGGCCTTTAACGGCCCAAATACCTAGGCAAGGTTTCTGAAAACCTAGTACTGGGCACACATTTCAAGAGCCTATAAGAGGGAGATGTTAGGGAGATGTTCCCTCTGAGGAACATCATTCAGAAATTCCAAAACACACGGGTACATTGATAGCTGCGCATTAAACCCAACATTAATTGCACTCCTTGAGGGCTAAGGCTCGGATATTGAGACTGTCTCAGAGAGTCGGGTGATCACTCCCCTTCCGAGAGGAGCCTGATCCCCTTTACTTTCCACATCTTTACGTCCGAACACATTCTAACTTGATCATCGGAGGCGGAACTCCCACCCTCGGGAGTCTCCGCTGTTTTGCAGGACGTAGGTCCAGTCTTGGTGCTATAACTCTCTCGCAGGACACATAAAAAACACCAAAACAACACCCATTGCTAGTCATACTTCAGATTTCAAAAGCTTATCATGCAAGTCATTTCCTCTTAATTATACATTACTTTTTATAATCAAGAAGACAGTATATACTCATAGAAGTGATATGTCATGTCATAATTGTGGTGCTTGAAGAAGGACATCATGCCAGCCATTTCAGATGATAGGATGGATTAACTCCTAACCTGTTCGAAATCCATTAGGAGATAAATCCTCTGCAGATGCAAGAAAATTGCCAGCTGCAGCATTTACAAGAATGTCAATCTGTCCATAATGCTGGAAAGTTGACTCAACTACCCTTCTTGCATCTTCCAGCTTTCGTACATCCCCTTCAAACCCAATGGCCTGCAGATAACAAAGATATTGATGCAAATCAGGAGAAAAATTCTACAGGCTAAGGAATGAGAAACAGAACCATTCAACTATTACATTCTATAAACTACCAGACAAGCTCCGCTACATACGGTTAAGTCAAAATTAAACTCTATCCACATACAAATGCCAAAATAAAAAATTATAAAAAAGGACAGAAGGGAGAAGGGAGAGACTATAGTTGTTGGAAAGTACAAGACACAGTAAGTTGAGGTTTCATACTTAAAGCACGACAACCGCCGCATAAATTAAGCAGGACCAAAATGAAAAGTCACCACATGTATTAAGATTGTCCAGCACCTTTACCAACAGGTTTCATTGCAATAACCTATTTAATGAGGTTGGTTTGCCTCAACTCTAATCACGTCTACAGGAACAATTCACAGTACTCCTGTTGTATAATTTTCAGCTAACTTTCATACAAAAATTACTTCAGGAAGTAGTAGGAATGAGATTGTTATCTAAAAGGAAAGTATTTAACTTTATAATAAAGAACTAAATCGCAACATCTCTACCTTTAGGCCTATTGCAATAACCTGCTGTGATACCAGCATCAAAAGCTACCCTACCATGCATTAGTAAGACAACTTTTTCTACCCATTGTAGTCTGCAAATTTCCTCCTTCAACGGCTCGTTAGGTAACCAGTTATAAACAATGGTAACAGTAGTGAATTTGAGTGTAAATTTTGGAAAGATAATCAATGTTCATTACCACGATCACTCAAGATAACCCCCAAATTGTCTATTTTTCTTCCTAATCTCCCTTTCACATCTAATATCACCTCCCAAGTGATAATGGATGGTAATCAATAAAAGAAAGGCTTAGGTGATGAGTTTGTCCATGAAAATTATAGGTTGTTTTCCATACTAAATTACCCTTTATTTAATTCACATTACTGCAATTTATTACCGGCTACCAAACACCTATACTAAACAGCCCAAACGCCCCGAAAGGTTACACGGTTGAATTCAACAAAGCAAAGCTCCATATTAATGATTTAATGGAGCCACATAGCACCATAAAAGATTTCAATTCCACACAGAAATACACTAAACCATCTATAGGAGAGTAAAGAACAAGTTCCCAAAGCTACATACTACAGCAAAATGATCTGCCAATATAAACAGGAAAAAAAGTAATAATAAAGTCCAAATTAAAAGGTCAATCAATCAATCAAAGCCTTAATCCCATAAGTGGGGTCGACTACATGAACTAAAAGCGATTATTCCGTGTATTCATTGACAAAAATTCCAAAAAAAAATAAACACCCAAAATCAATCATTTCAATTATTTGCATGTCAAATCCACCCAAGTAGAAAGCACAAGACCAGTCAAATTCTCAATACAAAATAACATAAAAATTAAGAAATCTTGATAAAACCAAAAACAAATTTAAAAAAATAAATAAATAAATAAAATCCAAATCAATTTCGAGGTAAGGAAGGAGTACAGGAGTGCCAAGGGAAGCGAGTGACGAAACGGCAGCATCAAGAGCTTGTCTACGCCTGCCCATGATTGCGATAGAAGCACCATGTTTCCCAAACTGAGTTGCAATCTCAAACCCAATTCCAGACCCACCTCCTGTTAACAGCGCCACTTTTCCCTTCAGTACATCTTCCTTGAATGGAGATTCCATCATTTTGACTGATAGGTGGAAATTGAATTTGGCCACACCAGTTATTACGATGATTTCGATGATAATCGTAGTAGATGATTTGCTGACGAATAGTGTCTAATTTACAACTAACAGATCATATTCCGGGACTGTTTTGTCATTTCATTTCTATATGCCGGAGTCACCGAGGCCATTCAGAGTCGCCCTGGTAAATGATCACTCCGTTTCTTTTTAGTTGACATGTTTTCTTTAATTACTTTTGTCAATACACAATTTTAACCATTAATACCTTTAATTATCGATAAATAAAAAGTGTGAAAAGTTGATATTTTGAAATATAGATCATGACGAATCTAATAAGATCACATGACTATATTTTTCATTACGTATAAAGCACAAATCATAATCAAAGGGGAGTGAGTGAATAGTGCTTAAGTCAAATCGTATCAACTAAAAAAACGGAGGTAGTATTAGTTTTGAGCGAAAGGTTAAAGGCTTAATCTCAGTCCTCTAATATTTTCGGCTAAGATCCGCAACCGACTATATGAAATATTAACCCAACAATGAGTGATTTCCTTAAAAATTGCTTAAATAAACAAAAATATCACAATTACACTACTTTTGATAAAGAAGGTATTGGGTGCAGACTGCCCACGAAAATTTACGTGCGGCAGGCTTGGCTGATATATTTCACTTGTTGGCTGATATGTTCCATCTGTTCGCTGATATGATCCTTTAGTTGGCTGATATCTTTATTTTGTTGGCTGATATCTTTATTTTGTTGGCTGATATATATATTTTAATTGTTAGCTTATATGTTTCATTTTGTTGGCTGATATGTTTAATTTGTTGGCTTACTTATTGCTTTTGTTTGTTGATTTCATCCTTTTGTTGGCTGATATGTTTTATTTGTTAGCTGATTTGTTCCTTCTGTTGGCTGATAAGTACCTTTTGTTAGCTGATATATTCCTCTTGTTGGCTGATATGTATCTTTTGTTGGCTGATAAATTCATTTTGTTGGTTGATACGTTTTTATTAATGTCTGATATGTCCCTAATGTTGACTAATATCAGACATCAATTGGCCGATATGTTCATTTTAATGGCTTATATGCGTCATTTGTTGGCTAATATGATTAACAACATACAATATACTTTCATTTCCTTCTCTCTCTCCTCTTTCCCCTTCTTCCTCTCTTTCTTTCTCTTGTTTCAAATGAGAATGGGGTTCATTTCATTTCCTTCTCTCTCCTCTTTCCCCCTCTTCCTCTCTTTCTTTCTCAAATCAGCCACAAATCCTCACGCCACCCCACCGAACCCACCGTCCACCGAACCCACTGCACCCACCAACCATTGAACACACCCACCGAACCCACCCACCACCACCTCTACCTGAAGCCAAACCCATCGCAAATCACCAACCACCGAACCCACCTTAAGCCGAACCCACTCACCACCACCTCTACCTTAAGCCAAACCCACTGAACCCACCACCACCTCTACCTTAAGCCGAACCTGTTTTGGTTAAAAAATACCCAGGCCACGTGGCCCAATTAGAGGGTGACACGTGTCACCTTAGGGGAGGTTCAAAATGAACCAATCCGTAGGGAAAAAGACGGCATTCAGGGCTCAATTCCCGAGAAAAGCCGCAAACCGGAGCAGCCCCCCCAAATCTAGGTCTGAATGACCTAGGTAGGGGCACATTTACCAACGGCCCTATAAATAGGGAGATTTCCCCCATTTTGGGGACACGTTCATTTATTACATTACAATCAATTCTTTCACATCAAAGAAAACCCTGATATCGGAATTCGAGAAGATCTCACTTTACTTTCCACACCTTTTCACTTTCTCCGTACACGTTCTAACTTGATCGTCGGAGGCGGAACTCCACCTAACCGGAGTCTCCGTTGTTTTATAGGTACAGGCACTCGAAATCCAGTACACAGAAAACCCCGAAACATTTGGCGGCGTTTGTTGGGAGAGTACCTCTAAGATGGTTTCTCAAGAGACTGTATCGCCTCCTGAGAATAAGCAGCCTACGGCTGAGGTCTATTCAAACCATGATATGGAACCAGAGGTCGAAACATATACGATCGCATATGGATCCCTCAATACAAGGCGCATCCGTTCCAAAGACAACAAGGAACGGGGCGATGCTCAAGCAGGTCCGAGTAAATCATCCGGCCAGCCACAGGCGGCAGGACAGTCTGCTCACATCACCCGAGACGAGTTCATGAAATTCATGGCAAGTTTTAAGGGAGAGATAAAGGATTTGATCACCAAAAGGACGGCTGGTCCCAACAAGGGTCAGTCGGCTAAGAAACTTTCTCATTCTGAGAAGAACAAGCCTGTTAGGGACCGAGAGCCCACTCCGCATCCTAAAATAAAGGAGAGGACTCAGCCCTTGATTGATCTGTCTAAGTTTCGCTTCCCCGAGACAAAGAAGAAGAAGGCCATTCGGCATGTTCAGCCGGATGGCACCAAGAAGACATTTTCCGATGCTCTCCTTTACATCGAGCAAAAGAAAAATCAGCAACTGTCTAAGTCAGCTTCAACGTCGAGTTTCCCAAATAGCTTCAAGAATACCTTGATGAGGTATTCTCAATCTGTACAAGAGAGCCTATCAGGAGGCCCGTTCGTCCATACAGTTCCTCAAATGATCGGTTCGACCCCGTATGTGCCTCAGCAGCCATACAGGTCATTTACCCAGCCTTACATGGAGCCTGCCCTCTTCGGGGGTCAAGCGGCATATAACGTCTGGCCACTAGACTGGCAGCTCCGTCTGCTAAAACCTGGGGAACAACCTTCTGCGTTCTCCTAGGAAATAACTGAGGCAGCATAGCCGGCCAAGGTTAAGAATGTCATGGTGCGTACTTATGATGGTACCACTAAACCAGAAGACCACCTGTTGGCATACACCCACCTCATGTACTTGCAGGGATTGGATGACACCGCATGGTGCAGGTGCTTCCCAGCCATGCTGAAGGGCATTGCCCGTAGCAATGAAAGGTCCGGCAAAAAACCGGAATAAAGACAAGTACGCCACTTCCATGAGGATATTGGCCATGACACCAACGACTGCTATAGCCTCAAGCGGATGTTGAAATCTTAAATCTTCAAGTCTAAGGTAACCCTGAAAATGGACCCTAGACAGCCGTCAAAAAAGCTAGCAAAACCTACTAGTAGTCGGACATTAATAAGGAGCCGGTCTACACCATAGTAAGCGGCTTTGCCGAAGGGGGCCTGACAATTAGGGGCACCAAGGACTATGTCAGACGGCTGGATGTCAGCTCCATCGATGAGGGCCAGGCGTCTACCGACACATTCCCTGAGGTCGTCATCACTAAAAAGGACCAAAGTAAAGTCCACCAGTCGTATGATGACCCCATTGTCATTGAATGCAAGGTGGCCAACCAGAAGGTTGGCCGGATCCTCATTGATACAGGTACCTCGTCTAACATCATCAGCTACAAGTGCCTGTCCAAGTTGAAGTACAGGCCCGACAGCATGCACAAGGTCACTCACCCCTTTGTTGGCTTTGGGGGTGGAATTGTGCACCAAGTCGGTTGGATTAATCTACCCATGTATCTAGGAGAGAAGGGAGAAAGGCACCACATGGTCGTCCGATTCTTGGTCGTAGAAGAGCTGACCGCCTATAATATGATTTTGGGTCGTCCGACTCTGAACGAATCTAAGGTCGTCATCATCCCATCACCCTAGACACGTGGCCCAATGGCCTTGCGACACGTGGCAGCCAGCCATGGGTTAACAGGGCGCCAATCCCCTGTTGACACGTGTCCTTTGAACCCTATATGGGGTACCGGTCTCCCCACTATAAATAGTGGGTCAGACCTCATTTATTAGGCATTCCGAAACATTCATAAATTCATCCATAAATACAAATACAAACCCCGATCAATATTAATTGCAGAATCCTCCTGTATTAGCGAGGAGTAATTACAGTTTCCGCACTTATTACCTCCTGTACGTTACTGACTTGATCGTCGGAGGCAGAGCTCCCATCAACCGGAGTCTTCGTGGTTTTCCAGGTACAGGCGTCGGTTGCACATACTAGTGATTGTAACTCTCACGCAAGACACATAAAAAACCCCTGAAACATTTGGTGCCGTCTATGGGGAGAGTACTTCCTAGATGGTTTCTGAAACTGTACCAACAAATGAAGGCAAACGACCTACGGTCGAGCCTGAGGTCCATACGGACCGAGACAGTGGTGACGATTATGAAATCGACACCTATGTGGCCCCAGACGGGTCCTTCAGAACAAAACACATCCGCTCCAAAGAAATAAAGGAGCGGGGTGGAAGTGAGGCCGCTCCAGGCAGCCCAACCGATAGGCCGACTGGTACAACCCAGGCGGCAGAAGGTGCTGCTCCCATCACGAGAGACGAACTCATGAAATTCATGACAAGTTTCAAGGGCGAGATCAAGAGCCTCCTAAACAAGTCCACCGGCCCTCATAAGGGTCAGCCGGCCAAGAAGCTCCCGTCCTTCAGGAAGAAGGCGCTGAAAGACCGTGTGCCTACCCCTCACCCAAAACCAAAGGTGGTGTATGGGTCCACGATCGACGTCTCAAAGCTTCGTTTCCCTAAGACAGGGCAATGGAAGCCCATCTGGCAAGTACAGCCGGATGGATCAAAGAAGACTTACTTTGATGCCCGGATGCTCATCCAGGAAAAGAGAAGTCTATAACTGTCCGCGTCGGCTTCAACGTCGACCTACCCAGACAACTTCCGAAATGCTTCTATAAAGCATTCGGAATCAGACAAAGGGAGTCAGTCGTGCAGACAGTCCGCACGTTCTGGTCCCAAAATTATCCAGCCGGTACAGTATGGGTCACCGTACATGCCATATGGATCTCTATACATGCAGTCGGCCCTCTTCGGGGGTCAGGCGGCATAACCGGTCCAGCCTATGGATTGGCAGCTCCCGCTACTTAACCTTGGGGAACAGCCAACGACCTTCTCCAGGGAAATTACCGAGGCGGCACCGCCGGCTAAGGTGAAAAACGTGTTTGTTGGTACCTATGACGGTACCGTCAACCCAGAAGATCACTTAATGGCCTACACCAACCTCATGTACTTACAGGGGTTGGATGATGCCGCCTGGTGTCGGTGCTTC